CCCAAAAAGGCAGAAAAGCTTCGTGGCTGTGGTCTCCGTTTGTCGGTAAAATGCCAGTATGCATTATTATAAATTGGAGACGACTTTGAACTATCATCGCCCCTGAACCAATATTGCAAGTCAGGTGCTGTTGACCACTGTCTACCCGAAATATTCTCATTGTTCTTCATGTTTAGGCTCTTTCGCGTTCAGCTGCTAGCAGTAGCTTCTAGCTGGCGACTCTGTAGATCAAGCTCTAAGTGGAATCCCCTTCGTGGTCGGGTGGATACCATCACTGAGAACGACGAAGTTCCGCCAGTTGTTGCCGGTGCGGTCCTCGTTCAAGGTGACGGCCCTCTGGACGAGGACCCATCCCTCTCACGGCCTCCCGACCTTTGCCTGGGTAGTCCCTCCAGGCACCTAGATCGAGTCTTCGTGGCTACGTTTCTCGGAGTTGCCACCGGCCTTTGTCTTCTACCCACTACATTTGCCTTCTACGCCACTTTCGCATTGGTAAAGTACACCGAATATCTACTTCCTTGCGTATTGTTATGTTTGAACGCTTTTCTCTTTCCTTACCTATTTTTCCACATCGGTTTACTCTCAAACTGTTATCTTTTTGCACTTTTACTCGGCTTCTGGACTGTCCTTGATATGGTGTATTTGTGAACTCTATTTTCAGATATACGTCTGTCTGCTCTTTGTGAGGGGTGCACTCACACGTGTGGTGTGCTTTGTGCTCGCTTTTCCGATTGGCGCGTCGCTTCGTTGGCTTTTTAACTGCGCCTCCAGTCGAAGTAAGTGCAAAAATTATGCGCTTTTCCCGTTTATTAAAGACCTCTCTTCAACGAATGCAACTCCGCGTCTCTTTAAAGTTTTCTTAAATTGTCGTCTGTTGCGCTGCGTTCTTTCCAACATTATTCCTGTCTAGAGAATGTTTTGCGCTGGAAGTCGTGTTTTTCCGTCATTCTAACCAGCTAGGCGAATATGGTTAGAATCTCCTAAGCAGACCTCACAGTGTTCGGTGTGTTGACTTGATGTACTGCTAAGTAAATTGCACTTCCCACCTGTTGATATAAACGGGGTTGCTGTTTGACAACGTGCCCGTAGTAGAAACAGTAAAATATCTAGTATGCGTGAAGATTCGAGGTCCAGATATCATATCGTTTCGGACGTCAGTCTCAAAATAAATCAGTCCATGTCCTCGTACCTTCTTCTTCCTCTTCTTTGGGGTATTGTGAAAAGTAAAATATCTATGTAGCTTTATCCGGAAAACGAGCTCACACCTAGGCATGGCAGCGGAAAGCCTAAAAGAACTACTTACGCGATGCCCACAAATGTCTATTTTCACTGAACGTACCAGTAAGGTCGCACAAATGAGTCTCAAGGGTACCATAAATAACCTTGATTTCTACGGTCGGTACGCAGACGATATCTTCCACTTGATAAATCGTACCACCGGCATCGATGGCCTACTCTAGAAGTGCAACAAGGCGCATCCCCTGCTTCAGTTTGCTGCAAAGACATAGGCGGCCATTGAAATCGCTTCCCGCGATGACATATATGGATATGAGGATGGATCTATTTAACGCAAGGTAATCCGAAAGAAAACCCGGAATAGACAATATATTAATTTTCAGTCTTATTCCCATAAACTGAAAACGCAAATTAGTTCAGAGATTGGCGGCTAGGGTACGACGCATCTGCTCTCCTGAAACTGTCGAAGCAGAGTTTCAGAGGCTGCAGATCAAATTCTACAACAACGGCTATCTAACGACATTCCTTCTCAGAATATAGAAGAGTGCGCAACCAAGCCTGCCATTGCAACCGCAGAGGAAGCTTATTTCTAGGAGACGAGACTTACGTACAGTAATCCTGAGTGCTTTACCCGCGGCAAACTTATGCATGTTCTTCGCAAACTCTCCCCTCCCACGGTTGGAGGCCGCTGTAGGCCACACCAGGTTGCATTTATTCATCCGTACAACTAGGTACCTGGAAAAGTGTACGCGAGAACATATCTGTTTGGCTAGATAAGTGGGAAAATGGATCGATTAAAAGTTCAATTTCCCCACGTCGAATCGATACGGATTACCAAGTCGACTCCAAAGAAGCCTTCTAGATTATGTACCAGGCACCAGCAAACTACTCTAAAGACCTACACTAACGTGTATTAGCAACAACTGAGGCAGTGGCTATTAAGTTACCAAATCCAGCGGTTGCTTTTCCGAAAGTGTTGATACAAATAGTTCGTCTTCCCCGACCGATTACAGGCGGTAATCGCGATTGCCCCAACCCCCCTGATAATACTCTTGCTTACTTCGTGTGTTTGACGCGACTGTTCGACCGTCGTATTCGACAAGGTCCACCGTGTGCCTCGCAGCAAGGCGGTGCAGACTTGGCGACTTGAGTATGAAACAGATTAAAGTGGGAATAGACTTGCGCATTATGTACCAAACTCTCTCGCCCTCCCTCGCTTAAGCCCGCTGTCATAACCAAATCAGGAAGATCGGAGGCAGGAAAGGAGGAAAGTGGCTGGCGCGGCCGGAATCGCTCCTAGGCATTCCTCCGTATCTGGCTCGGATCCCACGGAATGGGAATACCATAAAGGCCACATTCAGAAGGAGGCATTGCAACCTCACTCTCAGTCCGCCAGTGTGCTAATCCACAAAAACACACTGAGGTGACTGTGCCATGCGAGTTATTTCGTTAGCCGGTACCCTTCTAAGCCACGGCTTTGAGCGCACAATGGTAGCTTTAAGCGCGTCAGATTGTTCATAGTTAGGAAAATGCGCTGGATCGACGACCTCACTCTATTCTCGGTTAATTTTCAGATGCGCTTATAGGCGCAGCTGTTGACATACCTGACGACCTTGTCTGTGCCCACCATGTACAAGACCTTCCCCAAAACGCATATAAGCAGTGCTCACAGCCTACCACGAGTCCCTTTCCCCGGTTTCAAGGTCCTTAGCGCGCTGACTCTGTCGTGCAGGCATCGTGGGGACAACTACTGTAACTAATCCCCCCCCCCTCCGAGACACAGGTAAACCCTGTCCAGAGCTCTCAATTTTATTTTCCTTGTAATTTTACTGGTCTGATGATGAGTTATAGCAAACACATGCTTGCTAATTGACTTGTCGAATAATAGTGGCGTCGTTCGTTGACGATGCAAGCCTGATGTGCTCGTTTGAGTATCCCTTGTCCTTGTCGGTTCCAATTTCACATAAAAAGTTAAGGCCGGTGTGGGGACGATCAAACGCGAATTTACCTTTCAAATTGTTTACTATTATTGGCTTCAGTTTTGAGGGCTGTTGACCTTTGCAAAAGCTCCAAGTATTATTAAGAAAAAGTAATGGTTGAATGTTAGCCTCTTCCATTGTAGCCACTCTCGTGCTGACCGCACCGGTTGTTGACTCCATCCACGTGCCGTTACTTTCCCTAGAGGTATGTCATTCCTCTTCCTTCGTCCATTTTCTAAATCTACTGTTCTTTTAGGCTATTTAGTGGTTAAAGGTTGCAGGGTCTTAGACCTAAGTTGATTTCAGCAGCTTTAGTAAGTATATTTGTTTTGAAGTCTGCAGACATGCAAACCTGGCGACTTAGTTGTCTGTGATTCATTGCCCCTCGGCAACGAAGAAGACTTTATCTCGCAAATTAATTTTTAGTTTTAGTTTCCTCTTCGCTATTGTGCTGGCTAACATAATCGCTTCTAAAGCCCTGAGGGCTGGTGCGGATAATAATCCCTGAGTACACTTTTTGATCGGAGTGTGCTTGTGATATCCATGTTTGGTGTTAATGGAGTGTCCCGTGCATTCCGCTCATTTACATGAACTTATCTAGGCCAAGTCGCTTAGTTGATGTCAATACTTTTTTAATTATAACAAATGATCATTTGTTTAGTTAACGATAAGTTAATAACCTTATTAATGAATAATGTCCCTCTCCCCAAGCGTGTATACCACACGTGGCCTCTGCACCCTCTTTCAAGCAGGCTTGAAAGCCTGTTCTTTTCAAGCAGGCTTTGGTCCCGTTTAATATAGATCAATCTCTGAATTCCTGTGGAAACAAGCTCACCACTTTCGCAAACGCACTAATTCTGGAAGTCACAAGTTATACCCTCGCTATCTGATTGGAATGTGTTTGCCTTTGATACTTTTATGAAAGTTGCCAGTTGTGAACTCCTGTTTAGAGTAAATCGACCTTGCTCACTAGTAGTTTGCTTTCATTGCAGCTTGTACAGGATGGTCCCAGTTCAATCCTCCAACGAGAAACTGTCTTCGACACTGCGAATCTATTTGATCCCAGCCTAAGTGTATACGAGGTCGTCCACCGGCTCATTTTTGCCAAGCTGCTCCACTAATATGACTAGTATTCCATCTTTTACGCCTTTGTTTCAACATATCTCTTAATTTTTTATTTGTTTTCTGTAATGAGGCTGTTAAATAAACGTCGCTTTTTAATGTTTTTTTATGTCTTCCCATTTAATTTCTCGTCATTTCGGCCCCACACCTTGGAGACGGCGTGCTGATCATAGACTAAAGAAACAGCTCCCACACTTGGATCATAAGAACCTGCCTGTAGAGTAGATTGCCTAATTCGTGAAATTTGAAGGTTTAACATACATTTGAAGCTGTTTATTTTGTTCATTGAATGGATTTGAGGCGCAAAATGCTGTTGGCTAGAAATGAGTTCGGTTAAGATAAGTATATTGAGGGGAAATACTGGCAGAATTGGGCAAAATCCAACCTTACATGATATCCAATGAATTCCCTTAAACGCTGCGGATCAAAACGTCTTGTTTATTCGTGTTCTACATGAAATAACATTAATATAAGCCGGAAAAGTTTCGATTATGTCTTTTAAGAGAAGGGAAAAGTGTGTTTGCTTCGTGAGGTTCATGTAAACACGAGTATAAGAATTGGCACTGCTTTCGGGAAATAGGGGGCGGATTTAGTTTAAAAATTATGTTTTGCAAATCTGCTACGTTTTGCGCCATAAAATTAGATCAAAAACTTGTAAGGCTGTAATTTGTTTTGCCAAACCGAAAATAACGACCATAAACAAGCTGGCCTTTCTTCATCGATGTCGCGACCATGGCGTGCTACCGAGGTGCCT